AGAGATAGAGCAGATGGAAGCCAGGCACAACAAACTGATTGAGAAATCCGAAGAAACACACTGCTCCAATCTCAAGGAGATAAGCAAATCAGTGGATAACACTCTAGAGATCTTATCTCTATTGAGTAACACTGTGAGCAACACGATGGAGACATATGCGTCTGACAGTTATCTTCAACTCAAGGAGGCTAACAACATCAGAGAGCAAATAGCAAATGTCCATTCTCCAAATGGACATCAGAGCAGCTCTGGCAGTGTCTTCAGCAAATCAAGTAGTAACCAAAGACTACTTGAAGGTAATCATTGACAATCAGAAGGAAGCACAGAAACTATTCAGACTTCTTACAACAAATTCTGGAAATTGCAAGATGGAAGTAGTTCTTCAACAACAAAGTCCATCCTTGATTCCAGAGCTCCCCATTGCAGTCAAAGAAGGAGAAGTCTCTTACATTCCTACGCATCTAAACTTGACTGATCTAGTCCATGAAGCTCAGAGAAGCAATCTAGAAAACTCAACACAGCGCTTATCCAGCTCCGGATTGGATGGAACAGAGGCTGTAGGAACAATTGCTGCTCACTTCTCAAATGAAAAACAAACAGAGGAGAGACGGAACAACATAAGGCGCATCAAAGAACTATGTGGAAACATGCAAGGCATTAGGGAGATTGCTGAATCTTCAAAGGGCAAGAAGCACTGAAGGCTTTTTTTCATCAAACCAGGGGGAAAGTATGTGAAAACATTAATTTGCTTTGGTGAAAACACCTTCTTGTTTAAACATTTCTTTATTGGTTTAAACATTGCCCTAATATTTCTCTTAATTGTGCTCACTATGCTTGATTATACCTAATTCAAGTATGGTTTTGAGATTTATTCCTAGCGCATACAGGGGGAATGTAATTCAGGGGGAACTTAACTAGTTTTTGGCTAACAATTGTTTTTGGCAATGAATTATTGATCAGCTCTAAGCAATGGAAGACGGATATCTTAGTTTTGGTACTAAAATTGGAAATCTCCGATTCAGGTACTTTACAAAATAGTACCACTTTTCTTTTTAAAATAAAATTCATATTTGTTTTGGTACTACCTCGTCCTATGTAGAAATTAGAACTATAGAGAATGAAAAATGATAGTTTTATTTTGGGCCTTGAGAACCCAATAGGAATAATTTCCCTTTAGTACATAGCTTTCTTTTCTTTTTGGGCCACTCTTTTGGGCTTAGCCAAATTGAAACAGTTATGGTTCTCAAACCAAACGAAACTGATTTTCAAATTGGAACAGTTTCAATTCATTGGTAATTGGTAAAAGATTCCTTCCACTTTTCAACTTCTTGGAAGTTGAAACTCTTTAACGCTCACCGTTCCATCTACCCAATTAATGGAACCCGTGAACCTCCCCTCTCTCTACCTCCTCTCTTATTTAAATCAAGATATCTCAATCCATTCCTATCACAAACAGCTCTTTCAATATGAAAAATCTTCAAACTCACTGTCTAAGAAACACACCAAGAAAAATATCCTCAATGGAGAAA